CCACTATCACTGCCGTTCTCACCGACGTTCTCAGGTCCCCAGGGGCCACAGTCTCTTCCAAGGGCTGTCCAGTGCTTCGCTATCGCTGCATTATTTTTTTCTCTGTTGGTCCCGTTGCTTCTACCACTCTCTCTTGCCGCTGTTCTTGCTTTCAATTGACGCCTCCACCCAAGTCATGCTCTATTGAGGTCGCTGGTATTGTTTCTGTCATTGTTACTGTCTGACGCCTCCAAAGTCAGCTGACAATTTTTTTTTTGACCGGGCTCGTTGTTGCTATTATCCTTCTATTTGACATGAGTATTGCATCGTCCCCGGCTAATCCAATCACTGCGACGTCATGAAATGCAGGATGTCCATCGTTGGAGTAGTGGTCCTGCTAACGCCACCACTACCATCGCCTCCCTGTCCCCTCTCTTTCCCACAACAAAGCCTTCAAACCGCCCCTTACCGTCGTCTGCATTCGTCGTTAACATTTTTACTGCTAGAAGGCTGTGAGTCGTATGCGACACCGGAGTAAGAAGACACGGCCGAAACTTTTAACTTCATAAAAACTTCAGTAAACACAGAACCGAAAATGAATTCTTTGATGTCGAAGTGCTTTTTTCATTTCATAGACGCTCGAATGCGCTCGAGAGGAAGGCGCGGAAACTAAAATAAAAGGACCGGGTCATTTCGTTTTGACCTTTACTTTTGCTTTTAAAAAAGGCAGCCTATCTCAGTTCGTTAACTCGAGAACGACAATCCAATATTTGCGGTTCTATTAGCCAGTATTTTACTCTCGCTCATCATATCATTCTTACGGAATATGTATTCATACTTATAAGTTAACAATATAACTGTTATATTTCATTATTTATTGACCTCATATTAACAAAACAAGATTGCTGAGTATATTATAATCATCCGCGAAAAGCCTTTTACAAAATTATTAAAAAGAGTGCTCGAGATTATAGAGGTCTTGAAAGTAATATACTATATACGAAGTAATTTATTGATAACACATCCTCATTTTGTGTACACATATTTTAAGACTTTTGTGCACGTTTTGAGATTTGTATATATATTTCACTGATTTTTCCGTGTATAAATGTGGGCATATTTTGATGATTTTAAGTGCATATCAATTCGCGCTTTAGGTTTAATGAGAGGAATCAACACCTGCGTGTACCAGGTCACGGTTTTTTGATCGATGTTATTTATTCTGTGTACTACTGACCAGATGGGTGTGAACTTCAAGATGTATACGAACGGCCCCAAATACTTTTCGAATACTCGCACGAATCATCTTCAAGAGGATCAAGAGGATAGTTTATGAATGGTCGGGTGTTAGGATGTTATCTTTGAATGAGTCGAAATGAATGCGTTAAGCATTTTGGAAGATTTAATCACAATCGAAATATTCACATATTCATAGCTGAAACCGTGGTTATGAAGGAACTTGGGTTACACAGAAGAACACAGAAGTTACATATCTAAAAGGCTAATAATTCACATTCCACAAAGCTTAAAGTGTCAATACAATATGATATGTATATGCCACACTAAAGGATATCAACGTAGTCCAAATAATTGAATTTGGCACTGTAGTTTGGAAACCTTACTTTGTTAAAGATGTATACCTACTGGGAAACATGGTGAGTCATGAGGTTACTTACAAATGTAAAGAACAGGTCTTACGAACAACGACTGATGAGGCTTGGGCTTCCGTCAAGTACTAGAGGACACTGCGTTGGCAATCATGAAAATTTGAAATCCGTTATGGACATTATAACTTCCATCTTGTAACAATTTTTTTGCTCCAAAAATCCGACGGTTGAAATTAATTATGAAAAAAATTATGATGCTGGAATGAAAATTATGATGTCGAGGTAATATCTACTACAAATTAAGATTTATTTCTAGGTAAACAAGTTGCCGACACCTGGAATCAACTATCTCAAAACCTAGAAACGTCACTTAGCCTGCACGTTTTCGAATTGGCTTAAGATCGGACTTATGATCAACGAGAAGGATCATGGACATCACTGAACCTCAGAGTTAATGATATAACTTCTTATGATTTTATAATAAACACGTATAGTCATATTAATATAAATTATATTGATCAGTTACGACTCATTGTGATATTAGAATACGCGAACCCATCTATATGTGTAAAGCTATTGAATTATGTAAATTCTTTTGGGCTGCATCAGATTATACTGTTGTGTGTATATTACTTTAAAATCAAGTTAAATGAATCGGACTTTATACTACCCTCCTTATTCTCTGCCATTGCCTGCTCTAAGAATGCTTCTGCGTAAGACCCGAAGTTACATTCCCGGTTAAGCCATTAAACTTTACAATGAAGTAATAGAACAGCAGTTCCAAACTATGCGAGCGGCATTCCTTGTGAGGACAACGGAATGAAGTAAATTCGAGTTGGGAAATGCAGCCACAAGATATGCAGAGCTTGTAGGGACCCACAACAATTTATGATCAATATTGCAAAAGAAAAAACTGGGGTTATTCACTGGAAGTGGATATGCTGAAGTGGATTGTGGACTTACATTAAGTGTACCGCAAGTGATCTTCTGACTGAGACATGACAAGCTTAAATATTGAGCTTTGGTACTAGCGCGAATATGCGCTCCTCTTAATGTTCTGGACAAAACTATATGATTGGTGAAACCATTTTGATTTTGAAATAATTATTGTAGATGACCCGATAACATGATCGTGTTACAATAAGAATGAAATAATTTCGTTAAATACAATCCCTATATAATACAGTATGTAATGTAATATATCGTTGAATAAATCAAATTTATCGTGTAAGAAATATTCCCTGCCTATTTTAAGAACATTTTAATCTCTGCCCGTCGACAGTTTTCTGACGACAGTGAATTCTCATCGTACAGAAATTAAGTTCGGACACTCACCTAGTGAGCCACTGATAGTACTAACCGAGGGTTAACCTTTTGTACAGAGACTGGATTCCAGTCACTCGAAACGAGCCAAACGCCCAATACACTCGCGTTATGAAACAGTCGGCACGCGCTGTGTGTCGATGCAGCGCGCGGCGCGGGGCGGCGCGGGGCGGCGTCGGCACGGGGCGTGCGGGAGCGTGCGTCGCCGGGGGCTTTTGTGTGTCAGTGGGCGCTGCGCATTGCGCATTCCCGCGACGCGCGGGGGCGGTGCGGGGGCGGGGACGCCTTGGCACGCGGCCCTCCGCCCTCCGCCCCCTGCCCTCGCCGCCTCCCGCGGCCGCGAGTTACGAGGGCTGTTACACTGCATTATGCCACATTGATGGTTGTCGATGCCAATCGCCCGATGACTGATGGCGGGCACCGGTCTGCGCGGAAACGGGCGTTTCTGATTTGGGTCCGGCGTGCACGCGTTTCGGTCGAGGGGAAAATGTGCTGAAATGTCATAATGACACAACATTCTGTCATCCTATCACTGGCTGAGGGCATTTATCTATTCACTCACTCTCTGATTCTCTCTTCCTCACTTTCTCTCTCTCTCTCTCTCTCTCTCTCTCTCTCTCTCTCTCTCTCTCTCTCACACACACACACACACACACACACACACACACACACACACACACACACACACGCGCGCGCATTCACTCACTCACTCACTCTCTCACTCACACACACCATTTCGAAAGTTTTAATAACATGTCAAATCCGAGCAGGATATTGTAATTTTACATATTCACCAACCGCAAAGATGCGTCCTCAACATTAATATCGTCGTTAATATTCTCTCAGTTCATTTTCGTATACCATGGTCATCAAATTACAAAAATTACTCACGTTCAGGAGAACTCTAAAAGTTGAAGAGGAAATGTGACGATTAACGTAATTGCGTACGATTACTCCAACAACTTTGGTTTTCGTTTTGAACTGCAGTCAAGTGGTTTTGTCATTTAATGGAAGGACTTCAACTCCCAATAAACATTTCTAAAAAAATAATGCTACCGCTTGCATGAATTTCACATTTTTTTAAAATGCTCAATTAAAATAAGTTGCATTCAAATTGCATTTCGTTCTTTGAGCCACACAATGGAACATGGGCTTGTGCTTAAATCGCAGTTAACTTCACTGATAATGTGCAATTAAATGCTCTAGGGTTTGTTTGAATGTAGTAAATGACTTTCATGATGATTATGACTTTACAAACTGCTAAATTCGGTAATTAGTATTTTTTAATATGAATACCTCATTCTGCTTAATAAAGACAGCGCCTAATGATTAAAATGTGGATCAGAGTATTATTTTTGCACGTTGTGCTGAATTCATCTTACGACACCCAAAGAGAACAACTCGGCGTTAAGTGTCTGTCATGCATGCGTGAGTAATCCCTCTCACCTGAAATTAGAATGAATTTGGTAGTAACACGAAAGCCCCTTGTTCGTTAGTCGGGCGAAAAGAGGATGCACTTGTCGATGTGTATACCGTTTTGCCGCTAAGCCCCTCTGAACGAAATCATTAATAACAATTATGGTAATAATAAAATAATAATTCGAATGTTAATATTAATAATAATAAATTTTCAAAATTGAACGTAGTATTTCTCGTTTAGAAGATTTAAAATCAAGGAACGGCACATACCTATGGGGAACAAGGGAGTAAAATGAAATTATAACACAGTAAGACTTCTGGCGAATCAGATGTTACTGTCTTCTCTTATTCACATTTTGTAGCTCAAATATGAGTCTCTCTTTGTTGCCTCTGAAAACTCGCGGTGCCGGAGCCTGCAATGTATGTCTGGTCATGACGTCTCTATTGTTCTATGCAAGAACAATCGGAAACTTCATGGTCACACACACACACACACACACACACACACACACACACACACACCTCCGCCGCTTTTTCTTTGCCCCGATGCTCTGTCTGTCTTTTGTCGATCCTCACTGATATTCGTTCTCCCTTGACCCTCTACCATTTGGAAACCAGTAGAGCTTCACTTCCAATTATGACACAGTAATGGAGATCTCGTAGATTGCGGTAATGCCAGGCGGAACTCTGCATTTCGAAGAGCGCGAAAAACGAGCTGAAACTTGGATAACGTACGCATTGTCCGTGTCGCTTTATAGGGCTTCTGGCGAAATCGAAACTGGCCGAACAAAATAAGATGAGGATTTCTGGCTCTGTAGATGCACACTGGTTCCTCTCTGCCCCGAGCAGATTTCAGCATTCCTGCCATGCAGTAAACCTAACAAGCGAAGATGTGTTGAAGACCGTGTTATCAACTTCTCCGCTACTTTATCCCATTGCTTATCTCCGTCACTCTCGCTCGTTAATCTTTTTATCTCTCTGACGCTTTGCGCCGTTCTCTGTTCCTCTGTCGTCCTTATTATCTTTTGTTGACACTCGCTTAATTCTGCGTACCGTCGTCCCTTGCCCTGCGTTGTTTTCGTTTCCCCTCCGTCACGTCACCCTAGTCCATTACCGCCCTTCTTTAAAAACAGATGCTGCGTGTCTTCCGTCTTCTCTCCTTGGAGAATTGCTTCCATGCGGTGACGTATCTTGGCTGGAAGCTCATCGCGTGCACGTGCTTTGCGCTACTTTAATTTGCCGAGTGGTGAAACCGCTCTGGTGTTTATATTTAAAGCCGAAGTGTTTTCAGTCTGAACACACGATTCCGGTTAGATTGGGCACAAGCCGGGTTTTGAGGCTGCAGAATTTGATATCGGGCATCGGAGAGGATACATTTGTCGAAATGATGTGACATCTTGCAGATAGCTTATCTCGATATTTGGAAGTCGAATAGCTATATCTCTACACAAAATGAACCTACATACAGTGCAGTTGAGATTCGTTAAATGAAGTACCGGCAGGACGAATGTGTTGATTAGTAGTCCACTTGGAGATGGATAAAGACACGATGGTATAGAGTTAATAAGTGTAAACGCTGTATCTGCTTAATCGGTTACTAAAATGTCTGTTATACTTGTGTGATAGGACAAAAAAGGTCATATTTACGTATACATATTGATATGATATCTTTCAACTTCACTTCTTGATCACAAGTTTTTTCAACTGACTATTCTTATGTCATCGTTCGCTGTTGTGTAATAGTACTAGCTTGGTAGTCAAGCTAATGTCAAAGACCGTACGTTCGAATTCGGCACCAACAAGTGAGACGAAGTGCTCGTCATTATTTAGAGGAAAAATAAAGCCTAATTTTATGTCCCAAGCAACATAAAAATCATCAAGTTGTTGGCAGCGTTTTGCGGTCTGCTCCGTCAGGCAATGATTTCAAAAAGTGTTAGAAGGAAGAACGCACTTTACGTCCTGAATTCTATCAATTTGAACACACCGTTAATGTCTAAATTGAATTATAGTTCTTAGTGTTCTTGTTTCTAGTTAAATAATGCTCATTTTCAACGTGGCTGACGAGTTTTGCGCTTGGTTGTCGCAGGTCGTGGGGCCCGGCTCGATCTGATGGCCAGCGGCAGCAGCAGCAGCAACGCGTTAGCGGTGGCGCGGCGGCGGCGGCGGCAGCAGCCGGAGCAGCTGGCGGCGGGTGCGGCGGTGGCGGCGGCGGCGCGGCGGCGCGGCGCGCGCAAGCGCGGGCCAGCGGGCGGCGGGCGCCCATCTGCGGGCAGTGGCGCCCACTGCGCGGCCACCCTGCCATGAGCTTGCGCCAATGGTGGCTCAGTAAGGCTTGGCGACACCTCCTACTCTTCTCCTGCTCAACTCTTCTCTGCGAGCGCAGCGGAGGCACGGCACCCCGCCCACGAGCTGGTAGCAGTAGCAGCCAGCGGCAGCGGGCGGCGGACGCCAACGGCAGCGGCAGCGAAGCAGCGGCGGTAGCAGCAGCGACCACCGCGTCTGCCAACGGCAACGGGAGCCCCACGGGCCCCTGCAGCAGCGGCAGCAGCAGCGGCGGAGGTAGCGGCTGCAGCAGCGGCAGCTTTCATCTCAACAATAACGCGTGTGACCCTTCACCCGGCGACCTGGCGCTACTCGCAAAACTGGAGGAGGCCAACAGGTGAGAGGCTGCCTCTGGCTGGCGCCGAACGGCGCCTCTGCGTCTCGCTGTCTTCTTCTAACGCTCGAATCTCGATTACTCCTAATACATGATATCTCCACCTTTTTTTTATTTTCCTTCACACTTCCTAATAAATCACATTTCCTCAATAAATCGAATAGAATAGAACTAAGACCACCATAAAAAATATTGTTGTTTTCTGGACATAACGTTCAATCTCTAGGGTTCTGGAGACTGAAATGCAGAAGCTGATGGGCGTTATTGGCTTGTGATCTGGTTCTTGAAATCACAGGCAAAACTGGGAGAAGTGTATACAGTGCTGTTGACTAGGACACCCTAGGTTCGAGTCCCGACGGGGGCAGGATTTTCGATCCTAGCTGGATAGTTAGGTCGAGTTCATTCGCTGTCTGGAGAAGTTTTAGCGGCCGGCTGCTCTGATCAGTAGTTTTCCGTGATTTCTCCAACGCACTTTCACTACACTACCAAACATGTTGGGAGACTGGTCGAGATCTGAGAGCTTGTCCAGGCTGGGGAGATACCTGGTTTGGGAAAACCCCGCTAGCCGACGGTAGTTCGGCGCCGGATTTCACCATCCAATGTGGGAAGATCACCGTCACATCCTGAGAAAAATACCTGCCCTACACTTACGAGTAATTGACGCGCCCGAAATCAATCAAGAACTTGAAATATACTCTTATCATTTCCGAAATATATTTTCTGCCTATCTGTAGAATGTGTTTACGCGTGACGCGACAAAAATGTCGCTAATTATACGTTTCACATGTACATTGATCTCATACGTCGAATGGACACTGCAGATGCTGTTACCACAGTACACTAAGAAGCAAACGGCGATGTCATTGAATTACCGTCACTAACCCTCCGACATATGTCTGTCCCTATTTCTTGAACAAACGTAATGATTCATTACATACCTTGCGAACTAATGTGATGTTCGTATTATCAGTTCGTTTAAGCCATTTTAAAGAGTGTTCAATGTAGTTCAACTAATCCTCGTCCCCTGACAGTGCATCGGAGCGAACTGGGTCCCTCAAAATTCTACGCCTTTACCCTGGGCCGCGAAGTCCGTTAACAAGTTGTGGGGATACATTGTTGCCAAATTGGAAAGGTGTGGTAGAATATACACGTCTAGAAAATAGAAATTAGGAATCGCGGGTTTGAAACAGTCTATAATAACGGGATGATTCGAAAATATCATCTGCAATGTTGGCTGTTCTTTCAGCGATGAAAACTTTGCCTTTTTGAGCAAGGAGTCTATTTCGTATATTTGTTCTGTAACAACGTAAATAAGATCACTTAAAAAAATACATTCTAATTAATTTTCTTTTTAATGAAGTTCGCCTTGAAGGGTCATCCCAGTACACCTGGCTGTCTGGTGGGTTGCCTACTTTCAAGGCTGCTTTTCATTGACATTACTAGGGGCGGATTTTGATGATCTAACACATTGTTAAAATGATCAATAAAATGCCTTTAAAATGCTTAAAAAGTGCTCTAAAAACAAAAAAAAAAATGACGTTCAAAATTTGATCAAAACCACTTTAGATGAACAACTCAAGCTGTTGGGTATGTTACTGATTTAATCGAGGCTTCTTCCTTTGCCTTCAAATGAACTCAGCTTGCAAACGTTTGGTTTAGACTGTTTTTTAAAAGAAAATCTCTTTCTTTCTTTATCGCGAAATCGGTGGAACTGGCAATGGCGCCGATAGGCGTCACAGTAACGTTAGATTACATAGTACTCACGCCGGGGACATTACAACACATGAGCGGATAAATTGAATACTCAGCAATTCTGTGGTGAACATTTATTGCACCTCGTAAAAATTGTTTGAAGCAAGTACCATTCAAATTATATTAAACTCATTTTAATGCATTTTTCACTTATTTCATTGACGTAAAAATTAAAAAATGACATGTTGGCCGAAATCGACGAAAAAAGAAAACAATGACATATAAAAATGAGCTATTTCGTTTTGTTATAACATAAAATGAATTTCTGTACTAAACGGCATTGTTCTAAAGTGAATATACAATAAATTACTTTTCATTAAAATTCGCCCCCTAGTCTTGACAAGCAAGAGCTCTGAAGAAACATCGCTTACTCTACACAAACGTTGAGTCCAGAATTTGAATCCCGACGGTGGTGGATTTTCAACACTATCTAGGTCGTATGCAGTCACTATCTGGAGGAGAATGCTCGTGGCCGGCAGACCTGATCGGTAGTTTTCCGTACTTTATCCAGTCAATCCCTCACGAATGCCGTAACAGTGGCGTAACAAGCGGTGCAGGGACCGCGCGCGAGTATCCCTTCCCCTTGCTTCTTCTCGCGTCTCTCCTCACACACGCTTCGTACACGTATGTGTACTACATTACAATGCCTGTCGGGAGCTTAGAGCTGGTCCCTGCTGGAGCAGTGTCCCAATGGTGGGAGATACCTGGTTAGAAAAACACGCAGACCGACGAGTAGATGGCTGCTAGTACTCGCGTTCCAGCGGGGGAGGACAACGGCCTCTTTCCGGACAATGAAGTATACTGCACGGGACTAACGCCCTTGTAGCCGAAGAACGTGATAGCCTTCCACGTCCAATTTTCTTTCTAGCTGAAATTGCATATATGCGGCCAAGCCACCCCTCACAATTAAGAAGCAGTTTTTCACGCCTTGGATACGAATCTTCTTTAGTTGTGGCTACGAGGGGGGGGGAGGGACCCCTTCTACGGAACATTCGTGTTTAATTCACTGGATACTGCTCCAAAGAGGATAGTTGATTTTCGGCGTCAGTTTTCGTGTACGAAAAAAAAGGTTATATAATATAATAATAATGAAATATTGATATTATAAAATAATGGTAATGCTAGTAGAGAAAATGGACGATAGAACTCAATTCTAACCTCCAATTATCCGAAAAGATTCGGGGAGAAAATCTGTACGCAATGAACCATCACATATAATTTAATTTGTGGTGTCCTTTTCTTTATATAAATCGTACAGTCTTTAGTTTTCTACGCCTTATGTCAATTAACTTAAATTTGTGAAATAAGTTCATTTTTCTCTACGACTGATGTCTTTTTTGCTTAATTACTGTTTTATCCAATCATTCGAATTTCCTTATATCCACGAAATGTGCATGATCTAAAGATATCAATATTGTATGTAGTATATACTACATTTTTTACACTAACGATGTGCTTTTAAGTTTGTAGTTCGTTTGTGATAGGGTATAGAATGCTGTCGCTATTATTTCTGCTTCCCGTGCTTCCCTTCAATTTCCTTCCACGGCGCTCATTTTTATTTATTTTGGCGTCACAATTAATTTTGTTATTGGTAACAGTTCTTCCTCTCACTTCCCATAAAACCATACCAATCATCTATAAGTAACAAGAGGGACGTGGTCCACATAAAGCTACAGATATACAAATGCAAGAGAAAGAGAGTCCAGTAAAAATTACGCGAATACAAGAAAAGAATGCGACAAGAGTTGTATGTTAGTAGGAGAGGGAAGGAGGACTCCCACACCCGTTCGCATTGGCTTATCATCGTAGCCGCGTGTCGCGCGGCGCCGCGCCGTGCGTCACCGTAAGGCATTGTGCGGTGTGATGTCGAGCGTTTCATGTCGTATAACGTGCGCCGCCGAGTGAGGTAGTATTCGGGCTCCGCCCCCCTCCTCCTGCGCTCCCTGCTCGCACCATTAGGCATCGCGGCGAACAATACACTACCACGAATGTTCCCTTCTCATGCCCATCTCCTCAATAATCGTTACCGATTAGAAGTAATTGATTCACGGTGGTTTGTAAATAAATGCTTTCGCTGTTGATAAGATAAGATGAGATGAGAAAAGACTTGGCACTGTCTCCTTTTTGACTGTGAGCTGTGCTCGTGTACGTTGGTTGCCAGTAAAACACTGTAATTCTCATTCCGGCAGATGTGTTCGCTGTTTCAGTATTTGGAAAGTAACTTGAGAACTTATTTGCGAATGTTTAATGTTCAGTATTATATTCGAATAACATGAGTGAAAAACTGTCTGTTAACTATTTTCACTCCAACCTGCAACCTTTCTTCCAAGTTCGCTCTTTATTACCAAAAAATAATTTATAAAAGTTCAAACATTTCAATTAAGATTTTCCATTATGTACACTAATGATTTAGGTCATTTGTATCATCCTCTATCAAATTCTATTAATTTAAGGTGAATTTCTCCAAAGGATACTTTGTGAACATATTTCTTTTGTAAATTGAATTTCATTTATAAAACTTCTGTTAATGGAAATAATAATTTTATAGGCTCATTGAGGCTGACTCCAAGTCCCTCAATTCCTTGTCAGGGAATAGTGGGCATTCCCGCAAAAGCTCAGACACATCCCAAATCTCTCTCACCTCTGGTAAGTATTGTTTTAAACATTTCTTTCTTTCTTTGTTCTTACATACTTGAATTAAGATGTTTTAATCAGTTATATATTTGTACATAACATTCATTCTTTGTCTTCAGAAGTTAGGTTTTAAAAATGTTAATAATAATAATAATAATAATAATAATAATAATAATAATAATAATAAAAATAAAAATAATAATAAAAATAATAATAATAAAAATATTAATACAATATATTACATTTTATATAGTTATATATATGTTATTTACACCTCTATTTGTAAGATGACTCATAACTTCAACAAAAATTTTATTTTGTTTAACAGCCAATTCAAAAATCAGATATTTTTAGTTTGTATATAAATTCTCTTTTTTTACACAAAACATCTATATTTTATATCAACATTTTTTATAATTTTTAATCTCATAATTTGTTTATTTTAAATTTTAGCATAAGATTGAAAATATTAAAAAATATAAATTATATTCAATGTTTTCAGGCACAAGTTTCAGTCAGGAGAGAACTGAAGATGGGGAGGAAGATGCATGGACGGTCTGGGGACGAATCTCTAATGACTGGGACACATTTTGGAAGAAACGTAACCAGTTTGTTAGGGTAAATATAACAGATCATAAGCTTGTAACTCACAAAATCACTTGTAACACAAATTGCTTCAAATATTGAGATAGTTGATATTAGAAATATATCTTAGAGCCGCAGTGAAGGTTTTAAAAATCGTAAAGATCCTCAAAGATAGATTTGACATTTTTAGACATGCTTAAAAACAATTTGTCTTACCCCAAGTATTTGCTATTTATTAATGTCTATAACATTATTGTTAAAGATTATTGTTTAATCTAAGAAAAATCTAATAAAATCTTGATTTACAGGATTTGGTCCGAAAAGGCATCCCTCATCACTTTCGAGGGATTGTCTGGCAGCTATTGTGTGGGGCCCATGATTCTCCTGTCAAGAAACAATATGCAGACTACATTAAAGCAACTTCAGCATACGAAAAGGTATTGCCAGTTTAAAATATGTTATTGATGAATTTCACACTTCATGAAATCCATCCACTTCTAGAAGAGAATGATGTCTCATGATTCTCCTGTGATCATTTTATTTTGTTATAAACTAGTAAGTTTCTAAGTAGAGTATGTTAATGGTAATGAAATGTGTTCTGCTGTTTACAGGTGATAAGACGAGACATAGCTAGAACTTACCCAGAACATGATTTTTTCAAAGAAAAAGATGGCCTGGGACAAGAAAGTCTCTTTAATGTCATGAAGGCATATTCTCTCCATGATCGTGAAGTGGGATATTGCCAAGGATCAGGTTTTATTGTTGGTCTTTTACTTATGCAGGTGAGTTCAGAGAAAAAGTTAAAACTTGAATCTGACTCGGAATTTCTATCCCGAGTAGTTAATATGGCAAATCGTAAATGTTGTATTTAAGAGAAATTGATATCTGATTGTTAATTTTAATAAGATACAATTATGATTCATTATTTGTGTGAACTGTGTAAATTTTATATCAGAAAATGCTTGCAATTTTTACAGATGCCAGAAGAGGAAGCATTTGCTGTTTTGGTAAAGTTGATGCAAGAATATCGAATGAGGGATATGTTTAAACCAACAATGGCAGAATTAGGTTTATGTATGTACCAACTTGAGAATCTTGTCCAAGTGAGTAAAAATGTACAATATGTTTTTGATGTAACAATGAAAATAAAGGCTTCTTCTTCACCACCACTTTAGATAACTAGGTAAAATTAAAATTAAAATCTTTTTGTTTTTCCAATTGCAGGAACTGATTCCAGACCTGCATCTTCACTTCCAATCACAGAGCTTCCACACTAGCATGTATGCCAGCAGTTGGTTCCTAACACTTTTCACATCTGCCTTCCCCTTGCCAGTAGCTTGCAGGTTTGTTTGTTTGTTTGTTTTTTTATATGTTTTATTTTATTTGCAGTTAATTAAGATCTGTTATGATGAAGTAATGCAGTACTGTCCAGTGTACATTATTTGCCCTTCTCAAAAGTAATAATGTGTTTCTTAATGCAATTTAGTTTTGCTGATAAAAAGCTGCTTCATACAGCAGAAGTGTTTGTTTTGAATTACTGCTTTAAAATTATTAAAAATAAAATACTTCTCTTGGGATCTGAAGGCATTGCTCAATAGGATTTATTATTTTATAAAAGATATTAAGAAGATTTACCTCTATCGTGCATTTCATTTTGACAGTAAATATGTTCAGTATATACAAATATTAATTTAGTACTAGCATGCTCATTATGTATCTTTGCAAATATTACGCTCGTTGGATGTTGATGAAACATAAACTAGAGGCACAATGTTCATGTTCCATTTCAGAATAATGGACGTCTTCTTATCGGAAGGAATGGATGTAATTTTTAAAGTAGCTTTGGCGCTTCTGACAATGGGAAAAAGTGAACTTCTGTGTTTAGACATGGAAGGAATGCTCAAGGTAAGTTTTTAAAATCTGTTTTTGAGAAATTCATTTTGTAGCTTGAAGTGAAGCTTGAGGTTTGCTGGTTAGTAGATTAAAAGAGTATTGGAGTGTATTGTGTCCAAGAATACTAATGTGTTTCTTCTTTGTTACTTTTTTATATCATTATTATTTTGCTTTCTATTTTAGGTTTGTTAAATAGATATATTTATGTCTTGAATGTCAAAAAATAGATATAAGAAACAAAATAGTGATAAAATCTTTCTTTTTCACAAATTTTTTTGGTCTCATATTAGTAAAAAATTGTCAAATTTCATTATAAACAGTATTTATAATAATAATAATAATAATAATAATAATAATAATAATAATAATAATAATAATAATAATAATTGTTGTTACACATGCGTAGAGAGTGTCCTAACTGTAATTGTTATTGTTGTTATTGTTATTATTATTATTATTATTATTATTATTATTATTGTTATTAGTATTAGTATTATTTCTATTGATATTGAGCGCATTTTATAATTATTAAATTGTACACTTAAAAGCCTTAATATATAACTATTTCTTTAATTAATAATTAATTTGAGCATGTTCTGGAACCAAAAATTCCAAAAATCAAGCACTAATTAAACATGTCACTTATTAAATCAATAAATAATTTTTAAACAATGTTTTGGGAAATGGTGGCCCCTCATCAGGTCATCTAAAAATAATAATAATAACCCAAACTGGTAGTATAAGGTAACACAAATTGTTTCAGTGCACCAAATATAAAAACGTGTAGTACACTTACTTTAGTTTTTAAAATGAGTTGTGTTTTCTTTTGTAATAATGTCCTAAACATTTTATATGAGCATTTAGATATTTAGTATAATATACAGTCCAATATTCTGGACATAGCATTACGATGGCAATGAATCAATTCATGCAATAGCCCGCAATAGCAATATATTGCCAATTTTTATTGTTGTTATCATTATTATTATTATTATTTATTATTATTATTATTTATTATTATTTATTTATTGTTATTATTTATTTATTGTTATTATTTATTATTATTATTATTATTATTATTATTATTATTATTATTATTATTATTATTTATTTTTAGATGACCTGAAGATGGGGACAGGCAGGGTGTAGTCAAGACAAGGGACAGGTTAGACAGGATGAGGCAAGGTGGAAGGGGAGAGAATAGGGTGAAGGGGCAGAGAAGAGAAGGAAAGCAAGTGGGCAAAGCACAGAGGGAAGAAGAATGTGGCATGACAGGGATATAAAGAAAAATCATCCATTTTACTCTATTAATAGGATACATTCCTTTACCAGTCAAAAGAAATTATTATTATTACGACCTACAGGGTTACTTGATTTAGCATTATCAAGTAATTATGAAGTAAGAATAATACTAAATTTGTTGTATGGTTGTAAATCTTAATAATGTCTTGCTTGGTTGCAGTTCTTGCAGAAGGAACTCCCAACAAAAGCAGGAACTGACCCTGATGGTATGATGCTGTTGGCCTACAACATGAAATTAAATCCTAAGCGTATGAAAAAACTTGAAAAAGATTATACAGTTATGAAGACTAAAGAACAAGAAGTAACTGTGGAATTAAGGGTAAACAAACAACACCTTTTAACTCTGAATGAAGCATATTATTTAAAGTTAAATCTCACCTTCCATTTCATTGTTATTCCTTTCTCTTTCAAAATAGTAATTAAGAAATTGCTTTCATTTGTGATTATTACTTTTCTGCTGTTTGGTTACTTACAAGTCATGTTAATTAAGTAAATGTATTTATAACACTTAATTTACTAGATATTTCTTCAAAATTTGAATTTTGTAAGGAAGTACTCCAGTGGTATTTACAGAAACTTAACTGTTTCTATTATGTAAATTGAAATGTTAATATCAGATAGCAGATTCAATACTTTTTCACCTTATAAACAATTTCATCCTTTTTTTTATTTCTAGCGCTTACGAACAGAAAACCGTTTGTTACGTCAACGTGTTGAGTTGCTGGAAGCTGAATCAAGTGAGTTAGCTGATCGTTTAGTTCGTGGGCAAGTATCTCGAGCCGAAGAAGAAGAAACTACATTTGTTGTTCAACGTGAATTAGCTGCTCTTCGTCATACTCATTTAGAGACATCTCATCAGTTAGAAATGGCAAAAGAGGAAATTCGTAGTCTATCATTGTTAATGGAGGAAACTGTAAGTTTATACTTAATAGTTTGTATTTTTATAGCATAGCATAGGACCTACTGTTAATTACAAAGTTTTATTATTAAAACAGAAAACTAATTCATTGAAAAAAATCTTAGTTCTTTATAAAATCTTAATAAAAATGTTTATTTCACCACATGGTCACAGTAGGTAGTTTAACAATTACATAGGAATACATTTCAAGAATATCAACTAACATTGCAAACTCATAGCTAATAAGCACAATTTAATTGCTATAAATTTTGATTTGACTGTTCAAGGAATTGAATGCCCAAGTTCGGAGTTGAACCCAGATCTCCTGGTACATGTTCAACTGGCTGTAAAGTTAATTTCCCACCTCTAGCATTCAGTTCTTTGAACAGTCAAAACATAATTTTAATAAAAAAAATTGTTACATTTAAAACTGAAAACAGACACCTTTTTTTAATGCTTGTATTCCCATTGCCACAAAAACCAGGCAGTTAGCTTCATCAGTGTTTTTTTTTTTTTTCGTATCTCAAATTCTTATATTGCAAATTTTATTTTGTCAGTGTCTCAATTAAGTTCTCTAGCTATATGATTTACCAGCATAGCAATATATGCATGAGCAGGTGAGAAGACAATGAGAGCATGCGATGTGTGGTCAATTTTAGTCAGAAATATACAGGCTAAAATATGATGTTAGAAAAATTGGCAAGAAAATCATAAATTAAATTTCTCTTAAAACAGGATATGTTGATGAATTTTTAATGTCATCATTTTTAATAATATAATTTCACAAGTCCAATAATGTTGCCTCAAAAATCACTGGGATGAAATCGTGCTCCAACCCACTTTAAATATTAATGAATTACATTTTCTTTTTCTTTAATGCTTATTTGTACTTTCTCGCATTCAATGTAGGTATTTTCCCTGATCCTTGTTTTGTATGAAACAGTAAACTTACTTAAATGTAAAACATTTGTTAATATTGTGCGCTAGATAATAGAGCAAAGTTCTGTTTTCTTTTCATTAATAAAAAAAGTTTTTTGTTAGTGGTCTGAACCACTAACAGATCTAGGGCCGGGGAGTGGCCATGGGAACCATGGCCCCCCTCAAAAGGCCAAGAATTTTAATTTTCCTTCCATTATTTAGCAAAATTGATTTAAATATTTATTTATGTTTGAGTTTTGTAATTATTTAAACAAAATTTATTGTACAGTATCATATGTACAGTATGTAAAAAATATACAATATAATAACAAATATGTGTATTATTTAACAAAAATTTATAATGGGCCCCTCCAAAATGATCAGCTGGATCTGCCCCTGGTCTGAACTGTGTATATGTATTTTGTAAGCTATTTTTTTAAATATCATTGTTACTTTATACATACAAAATTAATTGTCTATGTGTTAATTAATGTATTTTCTTTATACATCTTCAGCATTCATCAAGACAATCCTCTCTCGAAGAAATCTCCCATAAAAGAGAGCTGTTAAGTCAAAAAGAAGAGTTAATTGAATGTTTGCAACAGGAACTTGTCAAAGTACGTTTACGGGAAGCAGAAAATGATGCTCTTATAAGAGATCTCCGTTCACGTATTCAAGAATTAGAAGAGGTGAGAGAATATTTTGTAAGAAAATCATGTTTAATTTCTTAAATCACTAAGCCACCTGAAAGCACAATGTTTAAAAATAGTATGTATTTTGATATGATCACTAATATAAAAGTGATGTTCCACATAAACTTTTGAATCACTGGCGTGACAGGTTGCCAATTTGCTAATAATATTTTGAGTGGCTGTGGGGGTTGCAAGTCAATATGTATCCTCCAAGTTAGTTGTGCCTATGACCGTGATACCCTAGGTTTCAAGTCCCAGCAGAGGCAGGATTTTTGACACAAGCAATAGTTAGGCCAAATTCAGTCGCTGACTGGATGTAATTTCTGTTCTGATTCATAGTTTTCCGTGGTTTCTTCGATCAACATCACACGAATGCCAGATCAGTACCCTATGAACAGGGCCATGGACTGCGCATGATCTTTCTTTCTTTTTGTCATGTCCTCCCCCCTTACTTACACACACTGACAAGAACTATAGTACCAAACATGTTGGGAGCTTAGAGCTTGTCCTGACTGGGGCTATGCCTTGCTGGTGGGAGATACTTGTTGATCTTCGGAGTTGGAACACTAACAAGCTGATCAAGGCTATTGTTACAACAAAAGTTTAATGCAACCTGCAATACATTTATGTATTAAGGGATTGTTTACAGTGGCATGGACAATGAACTGGTCGGAGGCAGAAGGGCTGGAACAGGGACAGAGAGGGTTGGGGTGGGGTGGAGCAGAGAGCAGGACGGGGGCAAGGTGGTGAAAGAAGTGTGGTGGAAAATAGGTGAAATGAAGTGAAGTGGAGTAGGACGGGATGACACCAATGGAACGAAGTGAGCAGGAAGGAGCAGAAGGGTCTGAGGAGAGGGTACAAATACAATTAGTTCCATTTTACATTACAGATATATTTCATTTCTTTCCCTGACTATTAAATGATTGTGATGTGATAAATAAATGCATGGTAGTTCTCAACATTTTTAATTTGTAATATATTTCAAATTTTCATGCTATTTATTATAGGATAAGAAGACCCTCAGGGAGACTACGCCTGATAATTCAGTAGCTCACCTTCAAGAAGAACTTATTGCAGTCAAATTGCGTGAAGCAGAAGCCAATCTCTCATTGAAAGACTTGCGCCAGAGAGTTGGGGAACTCAGTGCACAGTGGCAACGTCACCTTCAGGTGTGTATTTTCCAGTTGATCCTTTATGAAAAATAAGCTTAGGACTTGTATCTCTTACATATTCTTGAAAAATACATATTTAAAAAGTCTTAGTAATGTTATGTGTTTATTTTTGTGAATGATCAACATAATCGACAATGGATAATGGTAGCATGAAATTAAACATTTTCTGTTGTGTATGAAAATTTTATCCGTATTACTACTTTCCTAAGCATGCAGAAAGTGAAGCCACATTGAAGGTATCTATGGTTTGGCATACCCAGGAACTGAGGAAAAGTCCGAAAACAATTTCTCAGTTTGATTTTCATTGAAAAGTGCAAATATGTGATTGTGTTAAATCTCTTACTTTGTGTACTGACTCAGTTCTCATACTCAGTGCATCACTGGTTGCCTTTGCAAATATTTAGCGAATTGAGATTTAGTGGATACCATATATTTGGTGGTGAATAGCCTCTCTATTCTATATTGTTACAGTATTTGTGAAAATGATTTTTGTTAAAATATTTGTAATTTACAGCAGTGGTATACTTGATCATTTTATTTGTTGTTCTTGAGCAAGAGTGAGAGAGTGTGTGTGCTACATTGTGGAAAATCATTATGTGTGGTTTCTTGCTGCTGCAGGCCACTAGTTTGTTACAATTTGTCATTGTATTGTTGGAAGCAGAACTTGTGAAAACATTCACTCATTATCTGATTTGTTTCGAACAATAAATTCCATTTTGGGAAAAATTTAACATTTAATAAAAATAATAGATTTGCAGTAGAATGGTTTACTTCAATGGATTGTAAAAGAGCAGAAAGCATTGAAAGTGCTACGTAACTGAAATAGAGAGTTAATCTGCCATAATTTCATAGGAACATCGTGTTGAGGCAGCTCCTGCTCCTGACAGTACACCTAAAAAACTACTATTCTGGGAAAGCCGCAATAATGAAGCACAACGTTTAGAAGAGGAATTAATGACAACTCGTATAAGAGAAATGGAAGTACTAACTGAAGTGAAAGAACTGCGCTTGAAAGTGATGGAGCTTGAAACGCAGGTAAATATAATTTAGTTTATTTGATATATTGGTTGTGGTTCACATATTTATGTGCAAAATCAAATTTATCTAAATAATTTATCTTTGTGCTCAGGTGCAGGTGAGCACAAATCAGTTGCGTCGCCAAGATGAGGAAAATAAAAATCTTCGTGAAGAATTAGAAGCAGCTCAGAATCGGGAGAGAGAAAATCAGAGTAAATTGCGAGAGGAGCAACATCGGTATGCGGATCTTGAATCAAAGGTGGGGCAGTAACATTTTACTCTGTAAATAGATGATAGTTAATAAAATTATAACTTTTTTATTAATCCTAAAATGTTATTTTCAGATGAAGGATGAATTAATGATGGCTCGCATTCGAGATGCTGAACATACTCAATGTGTGGCTGAATTGACTCAAAAAATATCAATTTTGGAATTGAAGGTGTGTTTTTTTCACTGCGCTGAAATACACCTTAATAATAGCATATAATTGTATATTGATCAGTACATAGATACATACCGACTCTCTCTTAGAAAGATCCTGCTTGTTTCATGGAGTGCATATTTTCCAAAGCTGTTCAGGAAGGTGTAGAAAATATGCAATTTGACTATCTTGAGGAAAATAGATAATAACAGTTTATTGCAAGAGTACATGTTTTGAAAACGAGCAATGTTAGGAGTGAGTTTTCAAATTTGTGTGAATGCAATGAAGGAACATTATAAACAAGTTGCATATGCTTTTTTTTTGTATAAAAGGATTATAAATTTATGAGAGTATCAAACTTAATTTTGCGAAACAACTTTTTTGTGACTTCTTGTCTAAGTGCGAGAAAACAATGGTTGGTTGTTCTGTTCACCTTAACCTCCCCACAATTCTCTCGCTGCAATTGGCTGAATGTGTGATGACACAATCATTTGTGCCATAAATGCTAATAAATCGTCATTTGTGCAATAAAATGTCTGATAATGAATGATTACTTGCTACAGAAAAGGTCATTTATAATGCTGGTGTCCAAAAAAATATAATACAACATTTTGGTCCTGAATGAATTTCGTATTTGTGTGGGACCCTTTTCTTTAACAATGGATTTATGACTTTCAGTAGAACATTTTCCAAAAATATTTTTATCTGTACATTCTTTTTATACAGAGAAGTAATTTTAACCTTAAATGTGGTTTTGAAATACAATTCCTGTTCAATATTAATAATTATTTTGTCACTAATTTATGTAGACCTTCAGCTTTTATATTATTACAGCTGCACTTACATGAAGAAGATTTATTTTAGTATTTTTTCTAATTGATGAAGTTAATTGGTTCACACTGACAATTCATCTTATTTACATGATATATTTGTGTGTTTTACACTCTTAAGCAGTCTATTAATGATTTAATAAGTAGTTAATAGTTCAGTGTTCTTCTAAATTTTGTATGCTTTTCATTACAGGACATTGATTTACTTTTTACTTTTGAAATCATGTTTGTCTCAAAAGAGAAATGAAAGTTTTGATTCTTATTTAAAAAGTTATTTAAAAATTGTGACTTTAAAGACCAAAGATCATAGAAAATACGAATATCACAAAGACAATGTGAATACAAGACGTTGTTTCATTCTGATTGTAGAATGAAGAAATGGTTGCTGAGGGAGAGCTTCGCAGTAATCTTGATGACAGTGAGAAAGTGCGAGAGTTGCAGGACAAGGTTGCAGATTTGAAGGCAGAGGTGAGAATATTCAATATACCTCTAGAAAATATTAAAATAGCTACTACTTTCTGTGTACAATTTCACATTTTACCTCAGGTTCTGTATAAAAGTATAATTTGCTTACTTCTGCACTTTTGCACTTTTTGAGAACCCACTTATTTAATGCTTCATACTTGAGACTTTATTTTTTATACCTTTTTAAACTCTCATTCAGAAATTTACTTGATTATATGTTGCATTCTTTATCTCAGATTTCAAAAATCAGAAAACATTTCTTTAATTTTATTATGTATTAATTGTTGGGTAGTATTCTGTAAAATGTACATTTCAAGAAAAATATTGCTAACATGACTTATTTTTATCAACAAATTGACTGGGTGAATATAGATCAACTACAACATCGTTGTTTTCTGGGCTCAAGTTTTCCTTCTTTTTAATTTCTATCAGATACACAGAGATATGCCAAAATGCACTTTCACAAGTGCATTATCGTGCAATATTTTTATCAGGGAAGAATATTTACATTATAATTGAGTAAATTTTCTGTAGTTATTTTTATTATGTTTGTGTAATAATTAATAACACAGCCTGCAGTTCTTTACTGTCGATATACTGTATTATAATTTTGTACAGATTAGTATTATAAATAGAATAAATGTATGGATGACGTGAATGAGTGTGTATTTGATTTTTTCTGCTCAACATGCAGATTTTTTACGTTGTGTGTGGATTATGTACTGCCTGATTATTGAGGCAAAATTATTTTCAATATAAAATTAAAATTTAAAATTTAGTCTTTTAATTATGGTTTTGAATTTCTCTGACAATCTGTATATTCTTCATTAAAGATTTGTTTCATGTCAAATGTCAAAACACAATATGCTTTATTTCTACTTTTAATTGGGTAACATTAAAAAAAATTGTCATGTGTAAAAGAGATGGCCAATGTACACAAATATTCTATTTGGTTTTCACCATACCACTTTCTTTATTATGCATGTTTCATGAAAGTTCATCTGCATATTTTTGATACTGGAGTAAAGATAATTTTGTTTACATGTGCGTGACTGGGGGAAGATTCATGGAATATTTTCTTTAGACTTCAGTTGTAGTCTGTCAAACTTTGTTATAGAATATTTTTGTTCAACTTTCTCCTCTCTCACAATCAGTAATATTCCTCTTCCTCATTAAATCAAAATATTGATAAGTAAGATTATGAGAGAAAGCCCTTTTAATGCACTTTATAACTTAAATTATTCATATTCTTTATTTGAAATATCTTATTGATAGATATTGTTTCATGGAAGTGAAAATCTTGGAATAATATATTTCTGTAGAACTTTTTAGAATATATTAAGAAAATGATAAAAAAGAAAGAAAAACAAATTTTTTTTAATGACTAAAATTTGAAATTTTGTAATATTTTTTAGTTTGCATTTACATGTTAGTAGCAATATATGGTTAAATATTGTCCTTTATGATTTTTGTTGATGTAGAGAAAGTATTGGTTCCAAAGTTCAGTTAATTCCACATCATCTACAGAAATATCTCATTGGCCATCTCAGAATGTAATAAAGATTGGTTTTGCTGCGTGTACTAACACTAGCGTGTCTTCAGTTTCCAACGCCAACTAGTCCGGATGTTGAGCCGTGGAAATGGCTGGAGTAAGTTCATAGCCAGCTTACTTGCTTGCCTCTAGGCTCAAGCCTAATGTTTACCCTTTGCATGAGTCCTCTTTGAAATTGCAATCCATCCTACCCTGCCTCTTGAAATTCCGTTCCTTCCTTCCGGTACCTTTGATTACTTGCATTGGCTGATGATTAATCACATGATACAGTGTAGCTTTGGATGAATTATTAAACAGTTTGCTTGTATTCAGAAAGTTCATGGTTGGAAATTGCTGTGTACCAAAACTTCTATTTAATTGCCAAAAATCCTTTTTCTTCAAAACTCTCTGATACACTTCCTTGTCCACACCACTACTACCAAATCAAGAACTAAATCATATTTATTGAATGAAATCTAATCGATTAAGTAATAAATGAACATGAACTTTATATCCTTTGTGCTCTTCACTGTTGTCTTGATTGGTGTACCCTGTGTTTTAATTGTTAGTGATTTGATTGGATTGAATGAAAATGGGTTATTCTTTATAGCTTGTGTCTTTGATTGTTCAACTCTTTCATACATTATTTTCAGATAGATAATGTGTATTGGAGTTGCTGAAAAGATATTTTAGGAGGATGTATTGTATTCAGTAATTTGTTTTTTATGTCTTTAGATGGTAGATGGTGCAGAGTAGATTATTTTGAATGTTGTTTGCAAAGATTGGGGCATGATCTGCAAGTTCTGTTTAAGTTGCAAAGAGATGTTGCAATATGTTGTAGTATTGATGACCATGTATTAATTTTTCATATCTATAATTTTACTATTATCTTAACCTTTTTGGTATTTTACTGGTTTTTAAATCATGAATGCTTTTGTCTCCATAGATACCATATGAAAGTGGATGATTATTTTCATTGAATTGAATGGGTATTATTTTCTGAAAGTAAATGTTGTGTGAGGTGGTTGATTGACATTACCTTCACTGCTTTTTCATTACTAGATATGCAGTTATAAATTGATTAACTATAACTTCAAAATTCTAATGTATTTTTTAAGTAATTAAATTATTCATCTTGTTGTTTTCTCTTTTGTCCTTTGAAAAATGCATGATATATTTTTATTATTTAAAATTATAGAGAATTGAAAATGAAATCAATAGTAATGAAGAAGCATATTTGACTATTTTATGTTCATTTTATGATCGCACTGACTCATTTTGATATTTACTTTGTACAGATCATGAGACTAGAATCTTGGAAGGAGAGATGGACTGGTGGCCCTCATGATGGTCATGCATCTGCATCACGATCCGCTTCAGTTGATACTGAAAGTGAACACGATGAACCATCTGATCTGCAATTACGACTGACAAGTGAGACATCCAGCCCCGAGGTCTGATGCCCATTTACTTTGGTGCCTCTCTCTTTTTTCGGTTAGCTGCACCACTTAACTTATTCACTGGTTTTTTGGACATCAGCAGCTTGCTAGTAAGGAATGAACTATTCTTTTGGTGGAAGTTTATTAATGCATATCTGAGGACAAGGATGCAGATATGTATGTAAAGTGGTATTGAGTGTTTCATGAAAGTGCAGCTTGTGAAGGAGAAAATATTGTCTCAACATGTGTGTATTTTCTCTTTGTAAATGATATTCGTGTATTATTTGTTATTTTCTTTTTTTGTGTAGGCCTCATTTTTCAGTTTAGAACAGGTTTATCCTGTTCATTCTGTTCTGACACACACACAAGTAAATCAGCTTAATTTCCTTTTAAATTTGTGTCGATTTGAGTGATTTGTTTTTATTACCAAATATCCTCAAATTAAAACTTATATAAAATGAAATTAATGTATGTACATTTATACTTCATGTTGAGTTGTTCCTGAAATCCACTGGGACATGGTCAGAGAATAGCTTCTTTAGTTTAGAACAACTGTCTTTCTTTTTGTCTCTCGCACATGCACATCTCTTATTCTTATCAGAATCAGTTTAATTCATTTGTTAGACGATACCATCTTTGTTCTCAAAATTAATATCAAAAGGTGAAATGCTGAATAACTTGTGTTGTATTTCTCTAGAGTTCTGGTGGTAAGGATAACTATCATTTACAGTGAGAAAAATGTTACTTAAATTGATGTTTGCTATAGTTTATATCTGCTATACTTCTAATGCAGTTTAACTGTGAATACTAAAGCTCATAGCTTATCTGTGAGAAATTCTGATCAAAGTAATGCAGTAGAAATTTTCTCTTCTAAAATTGTATTGCTCTAAATAGTTTTTTCAACTATGTTTCTTATGGCTATTATCTGATGTTAATAAGGAACTTCTGTACTCAGAAAGGGGGAAGACTTGAATGTTGCGTTTCCAAAACATTTTGTTGATAGTATCTCCAAGTATCAGTAATGATGCATCTGTCCATTGTTCTCTGACCCGTCCAACAGGTTGAACCCAACCCCGTCCACCACATTCAATATAATTATCAATTCTCCCTTATTTCAGGATTAGCAGAAGTTCCGAAAATCTTTTAGGAGATTTTATAACATATTTTTGCATAATTTTATGCAGTATTATTAGCAGTAACATTATTACTTGTCAGTAAAAAAGAGAAAAAAGCAATTAAACCAGCTTGCAATGGCTGTATTCCTTATTTTACAAATATTTATTAAAAATTGGAAATGTTGTGGTTTCAGCTCAAGGCAATATATTTTAAGATCCTGAATTATCTTCATGATATGCTGTAATTATTAAACTTTAAGTTGTATTAATGGTGTAATGCTACCATTGACTTTGGCTTTAGAGCCAATAATACAGTACATTCTACTGACACAATCAAATTGGAACTGATTGTGTGTGCAATCAAAACACCAGATATTGGGAAGTTATTGAAGGCCTGAATAGTCTTCTAGCTCCAAGAATTCACTTCTAGTGCAGCAGTGAACTGTAAAGTCACATCATAGTTGTTAAGAGTGAAGAAGGAAAGTATTTACGAAGATGCTGTGTAGTTAAGTGTATATTTTATCAGTAAGGAAAGTTTGTGGATGTACATAGATATATTTTATGAAGGATAACTGAACCTTCTAACAAGAGGTTCATAAATTGTGTTGTTTAAATGTGTGCAAGTGTCCAAGACTGTGAAAATTCTACGAGGGTTCCTTTGTGGACTTTGAAGAAATAGGAATTAAATGGTGCAGTTTTTTTTTTTTTTTTTTTTAAATTTTATTTTAAAATCTTGTTATTGATATTTTTAAGTGTATATTATTAATGTGAATACTTTATAATTTATTTATTGTCTTCAAATTTAGCTTATGGCATGAGCTCCCTATGTAAGACAATGGAAAATATTTTTGAAAATATGTTGCATTTTTTACTGATAGGGATAACAAAATCCCAGGTAAAAATATTATATATTGAGTGCAATACTGAAGGCAGATAATCATTGGTCCTTTAAACGAGCTTGTTTCAAATGCCAGTATTATATGTATAAGAGTGAAGTATATTTGTGGAGAAATTTCTTACTGCAGAATAAATCTCATCCTATTAAAATACTCAGTCTGCAGGAGGAGCTGTGTACATTTGTTGAAAAGTGGAAATACAAATACACTCTGTGTGGCTCAAGATCAGTGACAGATGTATTTCGGTTTTCTTAAGAGTATCAATGTGCTTTGTAAACTTTGGTAACTGATCATAGAGAGACAAGGGAACATCGAATGTTCAATCAGATATGCTGTATCATTTCCATTTCATAATTTACTACTTTAATAATGTACTTATATTTCTGTTGAGATATTCTAGAACTAGAATTTATGAAGTTACATGTATCAACATTGCACTTTCAATCTGTATATTCTAGAGAACAATTTTAAAGCAATGTGTAGACATTCCAATTTTATCTTGTTATTGTTGCTGTCAATTGTGATCAGTTCATTGAAAACTAAAAGTATTTAAATTTTAGCTAATTTAGTGTGTAGCTAACTACTGTTCCCTGTTCTATGCATCTCTTCTCTTTCTGTGCCAATGTATACAATTAAGTTTAAAAACGATTTCTAATAATTTGGTTTTAGTATAATAAATGTTGGGTCCACTTTCCTGTGCAACCGTTCATTGGTTAATTAATCCAAGACAAATAAAGAAAGACTACTATCTGCAGCATTTGGTTTGTTTCTCATGTGTAAACATTTTTTAGTTACATTCTTCTCTCCCATCTTCAGGATCCTTTCTTTCTCTCACCCACGTGTCATCTTCAATATAATGTATAGTACATTTTATTAGATCTCTGTATCATTTTATGAAGGCTTGCTAAAAAGAGTTGCATATATTTTTATAGCTACATATTAGGAGTGAAAATTGAACAATTTTGTAGTGAAATATATGATGCATTCAATCGAATAGAATGGTTAGTCAGATTTTTTATGGTAGCAAGGTCAGGCCCAGACACGGACCATGGCCCCTCTTGACAATATTCAGAATTCACAAATATTTTTAAAATATTAGATATTCACTTGAAAATGATATATTCTACCAGAGATTCTTGAAATTGTTATTAAGCATGGTTTTAATGCAAGATGTTAAATGTATTTAGTAATAGAGATTTTATTGTATCAAGTAATACTAGTACTCTTCGACATTTGTTGGTAAAAATTATGAGAAACGGTTGTGATGGGTTGACATAATTTAGTGCATATTTTTGAAGATTTTTCAGCATAAAAGCATGCAAATTTCATAGATTATTTGTGCTGATAAATGAGGTCTCTAGTGTTGTGAAAAGATCAGTGGTGAATCTAGGGGGGGACCATGGGGGCCGTAGCCCATCCAAATAGGAATAGTTTTCATTTGTTACCTTCCTTTATTTGGCAAAATTGATTTACATATTTGTGTTGGAATTATGTAATTATTTAAAAAAAACATTTTATAATATCATTTATACACTACAAAAATAGTATACAACATAAGAACAAATGTTTAATATTTAACAAAAATCTATGATGGCCTCATCCAACATGATCGGCTGGATCTGCCCCTATATAAGACAATGTTTGATTAGTGTGTTCATTCTGGTCTTTCATTATGTTTCAAAGAAGTGCAAATGTAGACTTCATTGATATCAATGAGGGCACAAATCTTTTGAGAATATAGGTATGATGAAACCCTTCTGAAGGAAAAAACAAACAAACATCATTTTATATAAATGTAAGGTTTTTTTTATATTAATGGTGATTAATTTAGGTGATTATAGCAGCAACAGTAAAAAACTGTGACCACAACGACGGTTAACGACGTTCAATCACAACAAAACTTATCACAAACAATACTTGATTCGAGATCTCGTTCTATAAAGACGCGAAAGAACTGCGCGTACTGAACCCAATAACCAGTCAAAGGGACTGGGGCAGGTATGGGGACTCTCTGGACTCTGCTGGTCTTATAGAGTCTCTGCTGGGGACTGTCATGGTGTAAGATATATCTTACACCGTGAGACAGTATTCTGCTGTCTTCCCAGGCGTTCGTCCCTTCTGTAAAAGAAACTGCATTCATCAAATGTACATTTTGAATCAACATGCCTAATTGAAAATGGAAATAAACGCCGCAATCATCTTGAGTAGTCCATACAAGAATTGTCTGTACTTGTGTTCTTTCAGTAAAGCAAACATTAATAAAATTAAGATGCAAGGTTCTGACGAAGGCAAAAAAAGTGGTATTCGCCTCTGTGTCCTTCAAGGCCGATGCACTGCGATAGAACTCTGTGGGCCGTCAATACTCTTTCTCCATGTAAATTAAGATTTATTTAATCTTTCTCGTGATGAAGACAACCATTTTTTTACGCAAATTGGAGAAATTAGACCCGAATGATGTAAAACGCACCCCGACAATTGGAGTTGTCTAGGGCATACAAGACTGCCAATTTAAGGAACGCGTAAGACAAAAATGAGCAAAATGTCATAGATAGAGCTCGTACTAAGAGATATTGAATTTATAACAATAAATATTAACCACAATGTAAAAATAACCTAAAATAAAGACTTAAAGGCTAAATGGCTTCCTTTATCATGGCAAAAATTAAGTTCGTATTCAGTCTAATATCTGTAATGTATGAATGCATAAGTCGTATTTTGAAAATAAATATACCTCTAAAATCACATTATTTAGAAATATCAAGTATGTAATATGGTGATTTGTTCATTTAAGTACTGCACATACAACTAACTTGCTTAGAGTTTTATGATGTCAGGATTTCTCGACATTAGTTTTGTTAGCATTTGTTCTCCAGCTATGCTGAGGTGTTAAACCCGGATCTCTCACATTAGCAAACATGGATTCTAACTACTACGCTGCCTCCACCCTTTCATTTTTTTTTTAGAAAACAATTTTAAGTTAAAAATCAAATTTAGATTTCCTCCCATCCTTATGCAAAAAACAGGAATTAGTAATGGAGTGCAGTGTATTAGAAGAGCCTCCAACATGAAGACCGCTCCTGGCTCCCTCACAAGAATTAATACAGCCCTGAGATGCTTTGTTGAGTTTGTTGCACTTGATCTTCTGATGAATGGGTCGCAGGTCCAGAGCCTAGCCCCAGCCAGGAGGAGCAGAGGCAATTACTTTGGCCTGTACAGGTGTTGCTTTCTCCATGGCTCCGAAAGTCCCACCCACGCTCTAGAAAGAAGGCAAAGATAGAGAAAAGTAAAGTTAAGAAAATGAATAATCCCCTAGCCATTGAAATCTAAAAGCGTCTGGTTTGAAAACTCAAGGGATTCAGAGTTATCAAAATAGAACAGATGAAAATAGTATGACATAAGTAATGCCACAGTAGAGACCCTCCTCCTTTATCCGAGCTTGGGCCCGGAGCGTCTGCTGTTGCTGCGCAGCTCGACCCTTCCCGAAACGTAATGTTGAAACGCAGGTATGGCGGACAAATTATTGCAGCTTGCAGGCGGAATTATGATAAGTGAATTCTTATATGTTTAATGGCATTAATGTCATTCATTTATTGATTAAATTTTTTATAAACAAATGGAAAAGAAATGTAAAATTAAGATGAAGAAATTTGACAGAAAAAAAAAAAAGAATTTTGGTAAAAATGTGATGTAATGAAATATTTTCTTAATAAAATATGTAACAAGTTTGAGTTAACATCTCCAGGAATATTACCAGTTGAGATAGCTCAGTGACAAGATCCGTTGCTAATGCAGCGGTTCTAAGGTACGAAACCCCACGAAAGCGGACTTTCGTCTCTATAGCTAGTTCTAGCAAGTTTCCGAATTCACATAATGCGTAAAGGAGAATTCTAGCGATCGGCTGCTCAGATCGGTTGCTTTCTGTGATTTCTCTGATCAATATCATACATCGTATTAGCAGTACCTTAACATAAATTGGATCAAAAACCGCGCGCAATCTTTCCTTTCTCATTATCGTCCCTCCTTTCCCTTACAAACATTGACTAATTTTTACATGCACTCCACTACAACACGTGTCAGGAGATGAGTCTGGGTGACTAATCGGTGCCGCGCTGGGGGGAGATAATTAGAGAGGGAAAACGCAAAAAAAGCTCTTATGTAGGCCGGCACCGGATCTCATTCCAGCGGGGGACGATCACTATCACCTCCCGACATGTAATATGCATAACTAATAAAGTATTATAGTTGACCAGCCCGGTAAAAACTCACTCCAAAATTATTTAGTAATGGGAACAAAATATGTCTTGAAACTGTCAAAATTATAAAACATACTAAATTATGTAGTTCCTAATAACTTTAGAGAATTCTGATTCAGCGGAAAACATTGTTTAAATATAATCACATATTAAATTTGCCACTGTAGTAAGGCGACCTCCTGTTGGGAAGGATTTTCAAGTCGCCTGCTCGTATGTAAGCTTATCCGGAAATAAGAGATCAGTGTTTCTCCTACAAGAGTGGATTCGTTCGTGATATGATAATTATTATGATGAATTCACGATATGAAAATTGATAAACCTATTGAATAAATTTGAACATAAAATCTTAGACGACACTAGCGCACCTAACGGTGTTGGTTTGGGTGTGTTTACTTTTAGATGCGACAGAAGCGCGTGTAGCGGTAATACAGTGTACTGAACATGACATTAAAGTGACAGTTGACAGTTGCAAGGAATACAACTAGCAATGCGCGAATATTAGAAGGTTATAAAATGGGGGTCAGAGGATTACAAACGTTTATGGAAAAAAGTTCTCCAGATGCGGCTCATGAAGTAAATATTAAAGATATAGTGCGTAGCTACAGGTAAATAATAAGAAACGCTTGGAATGTCGGTACTGGAAAACCCGCAGTATTTAATTTGAAATAAAAATATTACAGGAGAGAGACAGGCAGAGAAGTTGTTATTGTGGTAGATGGATCATCATGTCTACGACCTTTATATGGCCGCTTGGACTGGATATGTGGCGGTCAAGTGAGGGAATATGTGGAAGTCTTTCAGAACTTCATCCAGGCATTTCAAGATATAGGTGTAAAACTAGTATTCTTCTTTGATGGGCCCACTCAAGCCAGGAAAAGGAAAGTATGGGTAGAAAGACGACTAAAGAGTTTAATGGATGTTTATAGAGTTTTTGATCTTATTGGAAGAGGGAAACACCCATCACAGCTTGGTGGAGATACAATTTTGTTACCTCCTGCTACATCTTATTTAGCTGCTCATGCCATCAAGACATCTGAAGGTTGCGAGGTGACAAAAATTGTTTTGAAGCTGTCAATACATGCATGTGTTATAGATGTAGCTATTGAGAATATTTTATTAATTAGGTTCACAGGTCAGTCAAAGAATGTGATGAGGAAATAGCTGACTATGCCAGGCAACATAACTGTTTTGCAATTCTTGGTCAAGATTCAGATTATGTAATTTATGATGGACCACAGTACTACTTATCAGCTGTTCACTTGAACGTAGAAAAAATGACAACCATCAATTACAATCGTTGGGCTCTTTCACGGCAGTTGCAACTTGCACCAAGTCTTCTTCCTTTGTTGGCATCACTTGTAGGGAATGATATTGTTCGATCAGATGATTTGTTGGTATGTTAGATGTGTTTACAGGAAGAAATGTGTAATTAGTAAATTTATGCATTACTGATTCAATAGTTTTGTTTGCTAGCCTTTTCACCAAAGACTCTGCAAACCTAAAAATCGCAATCCAAGACACAATTTTAAAGGAAGACCGTCACCAAGAGATGTGATTTACAATGTAGCAAAGTTTATACGTGATAACGTTGATGAAAGGAATTTATTTCAAGCTCTTCCCATGATTTCAAAGAGAGTATTTGGAGATGTGGGAAAAGCTTCTCATCTCCAATTAAGTGTGAGAAGTTATAGTGTAAATACTTCTACAGGTAAGTTATAAAAGTTTCCAATTTTTATAATTTGATATTTGTATTTTTTGTATGTAAAATGTAGTGGCAAACCATTTTTATAGAGCATTGTCCAGAAAAGTCAGAAAGTTCTCAACAAACATCAGTATCTCAGAACTCTTGGATGATCATACAAAAGAATGCAGAAACACGTTTCAAGGATGGAAATCTTGATTCAATGGTTTATGCTATTATGTGTGGTTTACCTTATGAATCAAGTACAGGTCTTGAAGACTTCCGTAAGTAAGTGCTCATTTCATTTATTTATAACTGAATTCAATGTCAGGAACAATAGTACAAAGAAAAATTGTTAGGCTGGAGCTCCCACCTTCAGCGGCAGTGTATCAGCCTCTGCGTCAACGTATTTATGGAATAATATTGCACGAGATGCCTGGAGATCCAGAAAATCGAGTAGTAGAAGAATGGTGTATGGCAGGAGAAGGGAGTCTCAATGGACCCTCTCGAGTGTGTGTAATTTTGCCACGACCAGGTAGGTCAATAATATTTACTTTCTTTTCTCTTCTTTGAAGTAAGTTGGTATTTTTATATAAAATAATATATTTGACAGAACTAGTGCTCAAGTGTTGAATAAAAGAAAGTGGCATATTTCTATCGAGTTGTTTTTGTTAAATTTATTATCAGACACAATTTTGTGAACATGTAGGAATTAATGTTTTCTGATTTGTTATACAATTTATATTTCTCACTGATCCTTTTGTGAAATTATAAGTTACTTTGTAACTGCAATTGCTTATCCTACAATGTATAACATTTATTCTATAATTTGCTACCAGAAGAGGTCTTCCTAATGGAGTGGAAATCTTCTTATATAACTCCTGTCTGTAAATCTGAATGAGTGTAATTTTGAGTGTTATACCTAAGGTATTTGAGTCTATAATTACTGAGAAACTGAAATAAAAAATCTTTCTTTTTTTAACTACAATATCAACATGAGTTTATTACCTGGAAGGCATATTGAAAGTAATATGATGTATAGTACTCAATACACTCTAAACTCTCTAGTAGACAAAACACAAGTACATAGCATTTGCCCTTTGATAAAAAGCATTTGTCTCAATGAATCATACTTTGCTTATTATGAAAATTAAATCATTTGTCATATGGGGATGGATTTTTTATTGGTCTTCAAGATATTTTCTTAATAAAATCCTATTTAAATATAAAAAAATATTTCTGATGCTATTGTAGTTTCATGAGGTATATCCCAAGCTTCACATCTTGGTCCTCTTCTTTTCTTTATGATTATAAAGGATATTTGCCTGATTTTTTAAAACATTGAATTTTTAGTGTTTGTTGATTTGAAACAGTTTAAATGTGTCAAATGTTCCAGTGGTAACATTATGGATGTACAAGCTGAACTGTTGGCTTCTCATATATTGAATGACGAATTATTTAAAATGATTTACACCTCAACACTAAAAATTTAAATACGTAACATTTTCTATAAATTGTAAAACCTTTGAGAGTATATTCTCAATCATTGTTGTTTATCTCAAACATGTTTATTCAACACAAGCTCATGGTGTAATTTACGCCATTGAAATGAAATGTAAGATCTAAAGTCACTATAGTACACAGATGATTGCTTGATAACAAATATCATTGTAAGATTTTTAGAGATGTTAAATGTTATTTATTTATACATGGAAAGCAGTGGCGGGCATTCAATCCCAGCACTGCTGAGGTAAGCAAGAATGAAAATTTAATGAATATTGAAAATTAAAATTACGGTGAACCATATGTTACTTGGTCAAAAATATTGCACCCACTGTATATTTACTGCGATCTTCGCTGGGGATGGCAGCTGCAGCAGCATTCGCAGCGCGCATCGTATTCACTGGGGAAGTGGCAAGCGGTCGCCACTATGCTTTGCAGCGCAGTTCAGTGTGGCCGCAGAGTGCAATGCCGCCACACTTCCCTGCTATGTAGCCATTCCTATCCTTTCGGACATCTATGGCTGATCTGTAAAAGAGAGAAAAAGAACGAGGTCAGAAAAGACAATAGCTGTTCGGCGCGCTTTTGGCGTTGTTTACCGCAATTTTCGTGCAAGTATTGGCGTCTCGCCTACTGTAGCATATCTCTCGGGCGCGTGTACGTGGCCGTGGGATCCGGCTCGTACAAAGATAAATTTGTTATAATGTCATTATTTGACGCGTTAATTTTTGAAAAGAAATTTCTAGCTAAATTTTTAAAGTGCTCTTCGAGGAGCGACAGCTTTAATGTAGAGTGTAACTCTGAAAATCTTAATATATATTGGCGCGCACAGTATTCTACGAAGGCTCGCATTTTGAACTACTTGCAACTTATTTAAGTGTGCGTGCGCCGCCATTCCCCAAGCAAGCGATCGGGGGGGATGCCGTAGCAGATATATTGCGAATTATGTAGTCGTGCACTTGACGTAATTCAGCTGTTGCGGTTTCATCGAATTGGGTGCTTATTTGTCGCTACAGTGACGTCACTATGGGGACGTCCAAGCTCCCGATTGAGTGAAACCGTGATCAACTGATTTACGTTAAGTGCATGGTTAAAGAAATCCTAGTATAATGTACTACATTTAATAACTATGTAGCTGGGGATCGAGCGAAGTGGCTCAGTACTTGTGCGCATTCGGGTGGTCCGGGTTCTATCCCGGGCCGGCCATCGTGACCGGGGTTTTCCCTCGGTCGAGGCGAATTCTGGGATGGTTCCAAATAATCCCACGAGTAACTCCCACCTCTCACTACGTGACCTGACACCACCTAGTCCTTTCATCCATCATCATCACCCCATAATAATAATAATAATAATAATAATAATAATAATAATAATTATTATTATTATATCATCCTATCCCCCCTCTAAATGATATTCAAGGCTAACTATCTAGTCTTAACCAAGGGATGCAGCCGAAAGCCGATTATGTTCCCCATAATTCCAAACGTGTATCTCTCCAGGATAGAATACAACTGGTGCTTCGGAGAGAAATGTGTTGCGTGGTCAGTAGTGGCCCATACGCGATTATGAATAATAACTACAATAATAATAATAATAATAATAATAATAATAATAATAATAATAATAATAATAATAATAATAATATAGAGTTAGGGACGGATGACGTCATCCCACCCCCTCCTTTCTCCCTTGCTTCAAGGCAAGGCCTCGCCTGCCTCATTATTGCATTACACCCCGCCAGAGAGCAGATGGAAAAGAAACAAAGCATCTCATATTTTTCGTAAGCAAGTGCTACCAATTGCACGTTTTGTTATATAAATTATCGTAGCATTTGTCGACAAGTTTATAACTTATATAACCATTTTGGGGCACATATTTCTCTCTCGCTGTAATGTGCGTGATCCAGGATGTTCGGTACATATTTTATTAATTTTTATGAGGAAGGTTGTTCTGACATCTGATCACTGAACTCTCCGAATTTTCGAACAGCATAGGTACCCTTGCGTGTCAGGATTGTGCGTGATATGGTGAAAATAAAAACCTATGGTCGAAACAGAATTAGTGAAAAAGAGATTATCCACTTTAGTTTATTGAATCTTGCTGCTTGAAGACACATGACTCACATTTATTTTCCTATTCTGTAAGATACTATTTACTTTACTTTTTCTTTCATGAAAATACCTCCTGCGTGGAAATGATAATTTGTATGTTTATTTTCTAAAGAATTTGTGTTTCACGCTTTTGGTAAAGAATCTCCTGTTGTGCTACTGTTTATGCGGTAAGGGAGGGGAAAGCTGATTGGTCGCTTGCAGCTGGGGTATGCAATGTAATCACCGCACGCTCCTAGTGGAAAGTGAGCGGTGAATGGTGTGAAGTCGACATTAAATGAATGGCGGATAACTTTGCCAGGTTTGGAACGCAAGTAGTGAATGCTTTTATTTATAATTTATTTCTCGTGTTTCTAAATTTAATTTACAATAATTGACATTAATTTATGTAAGCCGTTTACTTATGGAGCGAATTACATTTGGTTAAAATATCATTTCTGTATCCACCACCCTCGCTGAAGACAGCTGTGAGAGGGTAAATGTTAAGCTGTAAGTGTACTTAAACTAGTGGTGCTTCAACAACACGTCATTTCTAGCACTTAATATCGGTTACGTTATATTATAATACATGATTTCTGTTATTTTAATACATCTCACTAATTATTTGCAAAATTCATTACAAATCGTAGAACATTAGGTGCGAAAACTAATTCTTTTAAAGCAAATACAAGGTGCGATCACGTTCTAAGTTGTGTGTTTTTACACAAAATTTATTTAAAAAAATGGAATTTATATCATTTCTCATCGTTATCTCCCTGCAGTCGTCCACACTTCTCAGAACGTGTACGCCATGATTCTATGGCCGCTGCGAACGCTTCTTTTGGATTCTGTTTCGACCACTGCAAAATCGCCGATTCAATAGTGGCGGGGCTGGAGAATGTGCGACCATGGGGAGCTTCTTTCATCGTTGGGAAGATCCAAAAATCGCAGGTCAGGGCAGGTCAGGTCAGGTAAGTAGAGGGCATGAGAAACCACTTCAAAATTGTTTTCACGAGGAAACTCCACGGCATTCATGTCACAATTATTGAAAAGAGGCCCCTTCATGGCTTCATCTCGTGTCGACATTGCTTGGCAAATTGCCACGCGCGCAGTTTTGAGGTCCTCCCACAGCATTCTGGCATCCGCGTGGAAACACTTTCCACTGTTCAGCTCATCATACAGGGTTGGAAGTACAGATCCTATTGGCAACTTTAGAGGCGATATCTTTCACACTTAACCGGCGATCCTTCAAACAACAGTCTCCACTCGCGTGATCATGTCAGGCCGGTGAGGTCGAGGTGGTTTTGATTCATTTTCACGCAAAGTTCGGCCTTCTTCGACCTTTCGCACCCATGAACGCACATTCTTTTCATTCTTGACACCATCATTACACGTCTCACTCAATTGGCGATGACTGTCGATAGGACAGAAGTGAATAAACGAATGATGACTAGCTGTTCTTGCACTGAAAACTTTTCAATGCAATTTCTAATATCAACGTCACTGCTCACTCTCACAGCCGCACGAATTCTCTGAGCTGTACAGAACTGTCAACCCATACACAAAACGCGTATTTTAAGCTAAATCGCGTATTCCTATCCAGATCTAGTCCAGGGAAAAAATCGGAGACCATAGAACTTGAACTCACCTCGTATATCAACACATATTCGTCACTTAAAACTGGGTTTCTTAATGCTATAACATCCCAACAATGAGAAAGAATTCTTAGAATTCAAACTTTTGTCGCGGCACGGCTTTTCCGTTGTGTTCCAATCTCAATCACGTGTAAAGACTAGCAAATGCGCGAGAAATTCGAATTTGCAATTGTGAAGATTTTAAAAAATTACGCTAAAGTATTAATATTTTTAAACGAATGTACATAATCTTTTTTAAAGAATTGCTTTTATCTGAATCTTTATCATAAATATTATACTTTTGAATTGTTAAT